CCGAGAACAGCTGCCCAGGCAACATGTGACAACAGCGAGTGCTGGTGAAGCTGGAGCCTGACCCACCGATCATGGGGCACTACTGCAGGTGTGAGTGGGCGGCGCCCCAGGAGGGCCTGCCCCCACCCTGCACTCAGCAGCATCTGAGCTGAGGCAATCTAGCTGAGCAGAACTACATCTCCCAGAATTCCTTCCCCTGGGGTTTTCTGGCCTAGCGTGGGCCTCAGGAGAAACTTGCATGGGATCTGGCAGGTGGGAGGCGGAGCAGGTGTTTTGAAGCCTTGTGGGTGGGGGCGGGGCCTTTTTGGCCCCGGGCAGCAGCCACCCATGTGCTCCCAGCTCTGCCATGTTCCAGGCCAGGTGTGGAAGCAAGTTCATGGCGAAGTGTGCCTGTTTGTCCCGGAGGCCACCTGTGTCATCAGCACTTAGATACGGTAGCACAGATGTGGGTCCTACTTGGTTTGTTCCCCCGAGGAAGAGCTGTCTCTCCTTTTCAGAGGCCACCTCTTGTGGACCGAGTCTTGACGCCAGAGGCAGAAATCACAGGGATGTGCCCACCGCTGGGCCAGCCCTGGGCGTTGCTAACCCCACACTGGTACTCTGCCCAGGAGGCTGAAATGAGAGCCATCACCAAGACAGAGTCATTCATGCCAGCCCCAAACGGAGCGGCACCCAGATGAGCAGCGATGGTAGAAGGGACAGACGTGGCCTCTGCACTGAGGGACACACCACATGGGGGAAGGCAACATGCTCTTGCCACTCCTCTTGACACGGGCTGGGGCTCAAAGCAGGGCCCGCGTGGAGAAAGCGGCCGGGCTGCAAGTTTCCTTTAAGAGAAGTTCAAGAATATGCAAAACAAAGCTGTATGTTTTGAGCCAGGACAGTGGTTTTCTTGCCTGAGACACATTTTAGGGGTGGGGGGCGTCATGCCAGGATAAAAATTCCCTGAAATCTTTGGACCTCCTCCTGCCAGAAGCCCACAGTCAACCCTTTCCCCTTGAGTAAGGTCGGCCTTGGCCACGGGCGTCTACCAAGGAGCACGCAGGAGCCGGGCCGTCAGAGGCGACACCGCCTCTACCAGGCTCTGTGAGGATGCCTGCCCTTGGCTGTCCTGGCCCTGGCAAGGCCCTTAGCTGACAGCCCATGTCAACTGCTACATGTGAGTGGGAGCTTCTGGATGCTTCCAATTGTCAGCCTTTGGGCCACCCCACCTCTACAGTGCTGGTGCAGCGCTGCCCCACCTGACCCTGCCCAGATCACATGGCTGTGAGCTAAGGAAATGTTGCCATTGTTTCAGCCCTACATGTTGGGGTGCTTTGGTACCTGGTCACCAGAACAGACTCTCTTGGTCACCGACTACACTTTCCTGCTTGTAAGTTACCACGAAGGCTGACATCCGAAGACCCGGCTCAGGCAGCCTGGTTGAGGTGGGGGCAGCGCACATGCCGGAGATGGAAGCTGAAGGCCCGGGGGACGCAGAGTTCCTGTTGGCACTGAACTGTATAGCGCCTGAGACATCGAGGCGTGTGTGCGTGCGCAGCAGGCAGCTGGAGGCCTGGCAGGGCAGTTCAGAGGAAGACTGGAGCGGCGACACTGTTTGCCCTGGGCAGTATAGAAGAGCCGAGCGTGGGTGCCGATGCCACAGGGCTGAGTGGGGCCGGGAACGACCCAGGGTGTGCTCAGAGGGACTCCCCGTTGCAGAGGTGGGCTAGAGGATACTAAGACGGCACTGTCACAGACGCTGCAACTGGCAGAGGGCAATGGGGGTGGGGGGCGCCTGAGAGGTCCCTAGGATGGCATCAAAAAGGGGTCCCTGGATTTGGGGACATGATCACTGGTGGTGTCCTTGATAGATGTAACTTAGGCCGCGTGCTGGGGTAGGAGCAGGATTGAAGAGGTGGAAGAATGAATGGGAAGGGCCTCCCTGGGGGTGCAAGGGATTGGGACGCAACCTATGAAGCTAATCGGCAGCCACTATGGCCTGAGTGTGATCCCCGGACAGGGAGCAACCCACAGGACGCAGCAGACCTCCCCTGTCTCCCCGCTGCTCCCCTCAGCAGTGGATTTCAGTCCGTCTGCCTGCTCTGCTCCCCACTCTGTCTCTGGTGAGTCCTCTCACCCCCCACACCTCTGGCCTGTAGCCCAGCTCTTAAAAAAAAAAATGCTTGTATTAGGGCCTCCCTGGTGGCGCAGGCAGTTGAGCACAGCACTGTGAAGCTGTCCGCAGCCTCTGCAGCGCGGGTTCGATTCCCGGCCGGCCAGGGAGCTACCCACATGGCGCAGCAGACCTCTCCTGTCTCCCCGCTGCTCCCCTCAGCAGTGGATTTCAGTCCGTCTGCCTGTTCTGTTCTCCGCTCTGTCTCTGGTGAATTCTCTCACCCTCCCGCACATCTGGCCTGTACTGTTTCTTGTATAAAAATAAATAAATCTTTAAAAAAAAAATGCTTGTATTAGAAAAAAGTTTAGTGTTGATTTGTTAATCCTCAAGTAGCTGGAAAAAGTTGAGCGAAGTCAGCCCAAGAATGTCTCATTGCTCCAAAATAAGGAAAAGAAAAGAACAAACAAGGGAGAAAAATCAATGAAATCAATGTACCCAAAACCTGGTTCTTTGAAATGGTCACATAGTCACTAAACCTCTACGTCGACAGATTGCGGGAAAAGGACACAAGTTGCCAACAGCAGTCGTGAACAAGGGGGTGTCACAGCAGGCCCCAGAGGTGAACAGGGAGGACAAGGAGCTATTACTACGCCCATGTAGATGCAATGGACACATTTTCTGAAATACATGCACCACTAAAGCCGACACGAGACAAACTCTGAATGGACTGCAACCTGAAGAAATGAAATGTAAACGACGACCCTTTCCACAAAGAAGCCTGCAGGGGCGGATGGCTTCACTAAAGAACCCCTCAGCGCACACAGACTGTTTAAAAACCTAAGATGGGGGGGCCTCCCCGGTGGCGCAGTGGTTGAGCGCTGGGCTGCAAAGCTGCCCGCAGCCTCTGCAGCACTGGTTCGATCCCTGGGCCGCCGGTGGGGGTCCCACATGGCACGCAGACCTCTCCTGCCGCCCGCTGCTCCCCTCAGCAGTGTAGTTCTTCGCCAGTCTGCCTGTTCTGTTCCCCACTCCGGCTCTGGTGAATTCTCTCACCCTCCCACGCTTCTGACTGTCCCCAGTGCTTGTATGTATGTATGTATAAATAAACAAATAAATAAATGAAATCTTTAAAAAATAAAAATAAAAAAAATAAAAACCTAAGATGGGGGGCACCTCCCAATGGACTTTTTTTTTTAAGATTTATTTATTTATTCATACAAGCACTGGGGACAGTCAGAAGCGCGGGAGGGTGAGGGAATTCACCAGAGCCAGAGCAGGGAGCAGAACAGACAAACTGACGCAATACACTGCTGAGGGGAGCAGCGGGCAGCAGGAGAGGTCTGCGCGCCATGTGGGACCCTCGCCGGCAGCCAGGGATCGAACTGGCACTGCAGAGGCTGCAGACAGCTTCACAGCCCAGCGCTCAACCGCTGCGCCACTGGGGAGGCCTCTCGCAATGGACTTCAAGAGGCTCTGACATCACAGTCGCCGAAGCTCGGTTTCCCTCATGAACAGATGCAAACATTCCAGATACAAAGTGGAATTCGGCAGTGCATACAAGGGGGCTGCGCCACAGCCAAGCGCTGCACTATGAGGATGCCAGGCTGGTTTGCTGTTTCCACAGCACTGGCTCCCTGGCGACGGGCACGCAGCGGGCTTACAGCTGCGCGAGGCAGGGAACAAGGCCAGGCTGTCCAGGCGCAGCAGCTCTGCCCCACACTGGACGGGAGGCCGTGCGGCAGGGCGAGAGAGAGGGCAGAGATGGCAGAGTGACTGTGTGTACACATTGCCCCAAAGGGCGTGCCTGACACTAGCGCCGATGGCGTTGTCTGCGCAAGGTCGCGGACTCCCGTGTCTACACTCAGCGACCTACTAGAAAACAACCCATTTACGGTAGTGTTAACACCCACAAACCAGCTCGAGAAAACGCTGACACGAGTGTTGCTGGGGAGCCGTAGCGTGGCTCTTTCCAGCACGGTCACTTGCTGGGGTGGCAACAGCCTCCAGGATTGGAGGGGCAAGGCAGGGGCGAGCGCGCGGAGGTGAGCAGCACTGGGTAGCGCGAGGCTTTCAGCACAACACACTCCCCGAGTTGGGCAGAGAGGGAAAGGGAGGTCTTTATTGCTCCAAGACACTTGGACTTCACCGATGCCCACCTCGTGGGGCATGTAGTGTGACTCGTGACTGCGGACCCCGGGCTGCCGCGGGCTGCTGCCCTTGGAGGTGTGCACGGGCTGGGAAACCTGACTTGCTTCTGTAGTCTGCCCTGGTTCCCTTTCCCCAAATGCCTCCTTCCTTCTCTTTCTGCTTTGCTCCCCAGCTCCCACCTTCTCGGGACTTCCCACTATCTGGGTAACACCGGCTTGGGCTTAACGGACATGGGAGTGGCCGTCTGTCCCCGTCAGTGCCTTGGCCCTGCTGAGGCCGTGGCCCTCGGTGCCCATCTGCAGCCTGGAGGAGGCTGGCCAGCTCACAGGTCCCCAGCCCAGGGCGGGTGCGGCTGGACTCGGGCATCTCAGAACTCACATCTTGTGAGGAAAGCAAACCGCGGGACAGCAGCCAGGAGGGCGCTGCACCGCCTCTGCTGTTCTTCAGGGGCCACTTTGCCCCGGGCTTCAGGGCGGTCCAAGAGGAAGGGCTGAGGGTGGTCGCTCGGTGCTTAGACTCCTCCCCCAGGCCCCTCAACAGTGGCTTTCCTTCCCGCCAGGCTGGACTAAGGCAGGTCTTTGAGACGTCGAGCCCTGACAGCTTCTGGCAGTCTGCGTGGTGGCTCTGGGCCTGGCCCATGCCCAGGGCCCTGAGCAGCAGCACCCTCCACGCGCCCCCCTCCCCACCCGTGCGGGTGACCCTATCTGTTGCCCGTGGCTGCTGAGGCTTTGTGCCCTGAGAACATCCACCCACGAGAACTTGACTTCCGGGTTGCGGGGTCTGCCCAAGTGGCGGGTCAGCTCTGAAATTCATCACTCTCTTCGGGCCTCTGCCTGCTTTGCGGTTCCAGGCCCAAGCCTACGGAAGGAGGAAACGCCACTTAGCCATGGGGCGGGGGGGGCGCCCAGCTGCCAGAAGCCCTGGCTGCAGGCCAGGCCACGCTTCCTCCTCAGCTCCCGGGCGCTCTCAGGAGTGAAGGGTTTCTATTCCTAAGCAGTGGCTCTTCAAATAGCACCTGCAGTGGAAAATTCCTGCTGGGGCTTTGCCTCCTGCAGAAGCGGCGAGCTGGGGGCGTGCTGGCAGGCCCAGGGAAGGTGCCGCTCTCAGCAGCCGAGGGAGCCACGAAGGGAGCGAGGGCGGAGGTGCTCCCCCAGGGCCTCAGCTGGGCGGCCGGCCTCCACCCGCGCCCCTGGGGAGGGGTGTCCCGGAGATACCTGGCAGGGAGGCGGACGACAGCAGCTGCAGGCTGTCCAGGACCCCGTGCTCGTACAGGGCCAGCTTGTGCAGCATCTTCTGGCGGGCCGGGTTGATGACGATCTGCGGTGCCTGCGACGATACAGAGCTGCCCGGGAGCGCCCCTGGGCAGAGAACCCTGTCAGCCGAGGGGCCGGGCGGCTGGCCCAGGGAGAGCCCCGCTGCCGTGGCCGGCCTTGTGAGCTCCCGGCCCCCAGCCTGCTGCCTGCCCTTTCCGGACAGACGTCCTCCGGCACGCTGAGGCACAAGAGCCCAGTTCTGCACAGAGCGCTCCTTCTCCCCAGCTTCTAAGGGAGCTCACTCCTGGCCTCTCCTCACCCACCTGGCGGCCCGACCCGAGGAGAGGAGATAGTACCAGGCCGCCCCGCAACCCTTCTCAAGGCCTGGAGCTTACTGAGAACAGGCTGCAGGTATCTCCTCCCCAAGGCCTGGGGGTGGGGAATATGGGGCCAGTCACCACGGGAGGCCCTGGTCCCTGTTCTAGGCACCTGTCCTCGTTACCTTGCACAGCTGTGGCTCGGGGCCCCGGGCCACTTCCCCAACTTGACTCTTGGCCGGTACCCCCTGGAGTGCAGCTGGCCTGCCCAAGGGCTGGTGGGGCCTGCAGGGTGGCCCCTGGCCCAGGGATGCCTGGCAGAGCCGGGTCTGGGGAACAGCTCGGGGCCAGGTGCCAGGAGTGCAGGGCAGCAGACAGGCCGGGCACACTCTCGTCAATCTCTGCAGGCTGGTTGGTGCCTTTCTGAGCTCGCTCTGGAGCCCGGGCCAGGACGCCTGAGGGTGCTGCCAGGGGCGGCCACAGGCTGGCGTGGCTCACGACACTGCCGGTGGTGGACACATAGGAGTTCTCCTGTGGGGACGGGGTGCCACGGATGGGAGCCTCTGGCTCCGGCGAGGGCCCTGCCCCTGCCGCCTGTAGCCTCTCCAGCCTCTCGTATACCTTGGAGGAGAGAAGGGCTCTCAGGGCACGAGGGCTCCCCAGCTCCCGGGCGGGCCAGACCCAGCAACCCCAGCCAGCCGAGCTAAGGACAGAGAAGGGCTCCACTGTCTTCTACGCAGTGAATTTCACTGCTCTGCTGCCTTCACATGGGCATCTTTATCGTGAACTGTGAGAGACGTGGGGGTGGGGGCTGGAGGGGACGCAAAAGGGCAGGCTCAGCAGCGCGGCACACGCAGCCAGAAGGGGCCGAGCAGAAGCCCTGGTCCCACGCCGCCACAGGCGGGGCCAGAGCCCGCGCACCATCCGCTGCAGGAAAGGCGCCTGCGCTAGGCGGGGTTCTGGCAGCCTCAGGCTGAACTGAGGCGGACGCCAGAGGTGGAGACTCGGTCTCCAGAACGCAGCCTGGCAGCGTTGGGAACACAAGGCTGTCCAGAGACGTGTCTCCCCAGGCAGCTTCTCATCTGCCTCCCCCAGGGCTACCTGCATCATGGGAGGTCTCCTCTTGGCCCGGCGGTGCAGGCAGCAGCAAGCCAGCTGGGCCAGTGTCAGGCCCAGCTCCGGTGCGCACGGCCCAGGCCTGGGGTCCAGGTGTTTCTTGCAGATCTGGGCGGCGACTGGTGTGGTCCAGGTGTCTGCGGCCACACCTGCTTGGAGCGCCGTCCGGGTGCTTTGCAGGGCCACCCCGGCCTCCTCGGCTTCCTCTTCAACCAGGTCCTTCTGTGAGACAGATGCTGTGAGCATGGCCATCGGGAGGCCATGCCCTCAGTGGGGGCCCAGGTCCTCACCACGCCCTCCTGCGGTTTTTCTTTGGCTAGATTAAGCACTCCCAGTGTGCCCAGTGTTGCCCTGAGCCCTAGGGATACGGGGGGCAACAGATGGAGCACCCTGGGTCCACCTTCACTGAGCTGACTTCTGGAAGTGGGGTTTACCGAGAAGCCTATAAACTGGCAGTAAACGGTGGAAGAGCCCACGGGCCTTCGGTGGGGACTAGCCAGTGGACTCAAGTTTGGGGCTAAAGGGGAGAACTAGCTCAAAGGGCAAAGCTGGGAGAAGGGGACTGTCCCCCCAGCCCCCCTGGAGGGTGCTCGGGAGTGGAAACAGGTTCCATGGAGTTCTGAGATGGGAGGGAGTAGGCACTGGAGGGGAAGGTCTGGGCAGGCGGCTGGGGCAGCCGAGCCTGGAAGACAGGGAAGGTGGCGCTGGCCACAGCACCCGGGGCCATGGGAAGGCATAGGGCCTTCGTCCCAAGCGCAGTGGGAAGGTCGGGCCCTTCCAACACTTCTCTATGTTAGAGACACTGCTTTGGCCGGGCACAAACAGGAAAGGCACAAGGGCCAGGAGCTCGGAGCCTCCGCAGGGCCCCATGAGGAGCAGACGGCCTTCTAGCTGGCGCCAAGGCCCAGGCCTCGTGGCATGGAGGGGCGCTCAGCCACAGCTCACCCCCTGCCTGGCTGCACCATGGCTTCTTGTGCAGCACACCAGGGTGGCCTGTGGGACCTCCCCCTCCGCTCCGCCTGGGGGTTCTGGACGGCCCACGGCAGCTGCAGAGAAAAGACATTTCTCCTTGGCAAGGCAAAGGCAGCTGCTCGGGCCCTGCCGACTTTCAAAGATGAGTCGGCAGCAGGAGAGACTGGCTTCTGCATTCGAGATCATTCCACCCTCCAGGCTGCCCTACTGGTGGCCTCCCCGCCTCCCCCTTGCTCCTCCGCAGGCCGCTCACCAGATACTTGGTCCTGGCGCCCTGCATGCTCACAGCCCGCCGGCCAGCCAGAGACTCCAGCAGCACCTGCGGAGGCAGGACGAGCATGGCAGTGGCTGCAGTGTGGGCAGGCGCCTCGGATGGAGGCCGCTAAGCCTGGACCGGCACTGATGGGCCAGGCCCCAGAGGGCAGCTGTGGACCAGTGCCCAGGCAGCATGGCCCTGGCTTAGCGAGCTCGCGTGAAGAAAGAGAAGGCCAGACGACAGATACGAACTGAGGTGTCAGACTGAAGCAGGGCCTGAGCCAGGGAAGGAGGGCTCGCACAACTCTGCGGCTGCCCCGCCTTTAGCTGGCCGCGGCCGCTGCTCCCCAAAGCTGGCCGCGGGGCCCCGCTCACCACGCCGAAGCTGAAGGTGTCGGTATCCACGGCCAGCCGTCCTGTCTTGACGTAGTCCTCAGGCAGGTAGGCCAGCGTACCACGCACCGTCTGTGTCCGGGCCACGGCACTGCTCTGGCCGGCGCTGGCCCCCGAGAAGCGGCTGAGCCTGGCCAGGCCGAAGTCCCCCAGTTTGGGCATCAGTCGCTCATCCAGGAGGACGTTGGAGCTTGGGGAGGGAAGGGAGTGGCATCAGCTAGCCGGCCGCTCTACCCCCACGGCGCCCTGACGAAATCGGAAGGGTGATCGTCCATCGGGCACCACGCCCACAGACAGAAGCTGGAGCAGCCCCCCACACTCTGGCTGCCTGGGGAGCTCTGAGCCAGCAGCCCCCAGGCCACCTGTATGGTCAGGGCCCTGCTTCTCAGCGCGGCCTGTCCTCAGACTCCACACCTGTCCACAGTGGGGACGCGGTGACCCACCCTGCAGCCTTGAGCAAGGGAGGTCAGGCCACTGTTGGGGCCACTCAGGGCGCAGAGCACCCCCTCACCAGACTCACTCTCAGAGGCCCGGCTGTGTACACTCCTCACCTCTTGACGTCTCCGTGGATGAGGCTGGGCTTGTCCTGATGTAGGAACTGAATGGCACGGGCCGTGCCCAGCAGAATATCCAGTCGCTGAGGCCAGGAGAGAGGGGGGTGCGCCTGGGTCTGAAGCGGCAGAGGGTGCAGAGGGATGCAGGGGAGGCTGGGGGCGCTGTTCCTTGATCCCAACCCCTCCACCTGCCCCACCTGGCCCAGACCAGCTTGTTGACTCTGGGCCACAGTTTCCCGTCTTGGAAACTAAGGAGTGACACCTGCAGACGCTACCTCGCGCGAGGCCTCAGTCACACAGGGACTGCACTGGCCAGGTCCGGCTTCAGAAGTTGCCAGAGTTCCCAGCGCACGCCCCGTCGTCCCCAGGCCGCCAGGACGTGGCAGGCGGCTTGCTCCTGGCCCCCCCACCCCCGGACGGTGCAGGCCGCTCCCGTCCCGTGTGTGGCTAGCCCTGGTGGCTTGCGGGCACCTCGCTGGGCAAGGCCCAGTCGTGGGTGAGGCGTGTTGTGTGTGTGGGCCGCCACCCCACGCCTTGAGGGCTGTCCTGACTGGAGGGAACCCTTTGGCCACTCGAGTCGACCCCCTTTTCTGAGGGACATGGGCCAGCACTGGGCAGTGCCGAGAGTGGTGGGCTGGGCGGGTGGGTGGGAGACCTGGCCGTGCAGGCGGTCCTCCAGGGAGCCGTTGGGCAGGAAGCTGTAGACCAGGCAGTAGAAGCCACCCTGAGCGCAGAAGCCAGCAAACTCCACGATGTTTGGGTGACGGAACCTGCCGAAGAGGAGGGTGAGAGCCTCCAGCCGCTGCCCGCCTGCCATCAGCCCATGGGGGCGGCCCTGCCCGGCTCGGCTCGGCTCACCGTGACAGCTGCTGCACCTCGGCCAGGAAGCTCTGCCGCACGGCGCTCCACTCCAGGTCCGCCTCCTGCGGGCCGTGGGGAAAGTGGGGTGGGCGCAGCGTGAGGCTCCTTGTCCCGTGTGCTGGGCTGGACAGCCCAGGGCCTGGGGACCTTGAACTTTGAATTCACAGGGCTGACGGAGTTGCTTGAGGAAGCAGGGCAGGAGGAGAAAAGTGAGGGGCTGCAGATAATCTTGCGGGGCTTTTGGGAGGCCGCTCAACCCACCTCCTTCAGCCTCTTCACAGCATACACGGTGTTCCTCATCACGGCCCGGTACACGCACCCAAAGCCGCCTTCCCCGATCTTGAGCTCCTCTGAGAAGTTGTGGGTGCCCTGGGAAATCTCGTGGGGGGGCCAGCAGAAGGGAGAGAGGTGGGCCCCCTGCAGAAGGGACACAGGGCTCTCTGGGCTGGTCTGTGGGAAGGGACCCCAGATCAGCAGAGATCCTGTCGCTTCCCCTCAGTCCCGCTGCCCGCTCCTGGGACCCCAAGGCGGCGTGGATGGCCCCAGTAGGTTGGCTGGGGCCGTCCCCTGTGCCAAAGGCCGGGCTTCTGGCTCTGGTGTCAAGCTCGCCAGGGGCGGCGCCCGCCTACCTTGGAGGAGGAAGGGGCCGGAGACGGTGCTGGCGGTGGGAGAGGAGCCAGGCCAGGGCCCGGTGTGCGCTCTGCTCCAGAATGGGTGGGCCCGCCTGGAAAAGCTTCAGAAAGACACCAGTAAGAAGCCGCCTGAGAGCAAGTGGCAGAGTCCGCCGGGCCCGGCCGGGGCGCCCTTACCTGGGAGAGGAGGGTGGACGTGGACGACAGCGGCTTCCGGGGGCGGGAGGCGTCAGGCTCCGGGGGGGCAGCGGCGCTGCTGGGCGTCGGGGCAGCGGTGCAGGGAGGCAGAAGGGGGGCGGGAGGCTGCCCTGGGGTGGCCGGGAAGCAAAGGCAGGTGAGGGCCGAGTGCGGGCAGCCGGGGGGTGGGGCGGGGGCCGGGGCCCGGGGTGGCGCTCACAGGCGGTGATGATGTCCGCGCGCGGAGCAGCTGCAGGTGCGTGAGGATGCGCACGAGGTCGGCCACGCGGGCGTTGCGGTTGATCCAGGGCCACAGGACGCTGGCCGTGCGCTGCCCGGAGCGCTCGCACAGCCGCAGCTCCGTCTGGTCGCGCACGATCAGGGCGGCTGCGGGCCGGGGGGGGGGGGGGGGGGGGGGCGTCAGGACGGGGCTCCGGGGGCCCGGGGCCGGCCGGCCGCCCCGCCCCGCCCAGCCGGCCCGCCGCCACCCACCGAACTGGCACCAGTCGGCGGGCTCCAGGGCGTCCATCACTTTGTAGAAGCGGCACATGACCCAGGGCGGCACCTCGTACAAGAAGTGGTGCGCGCCGGGGGCCGCAGGGTCCCCCGGGCCCGGCCCCCCGGCCATGGCCGCCGCCGCTGCCGCCGGGCCGGGGCCTGTCGGGGCCTGTCGGGGCCGCGGCGGGCGCGGGCCGGCCGGTCCGCGGACACTGACTCACTTCCCCTTGAAGCCGGCCTCGTGCGACGCCCGGCGGGGCGGAAGGGGCGGCGCCCGGCCCGCGCCATCTTGTCCCCGCCGCCGGCCGCGGCGCCGCCTCCCGGCCGGCGGGCTTCCCGGAGGAGGGGCCCCGTGGGGCTCCGCGCCCAGGGGACGCGGGGCCGAGCGCCGCCAGGGCGCGCCTGGAAGGGCTGGCGCCGGCCTCGAGCGAGCGCGGGGGGACCCTGGAGCGTCCGGCCTTCCTCGGGAGGCGGCAGCGTGGCGGCCCAGCCGCGGGTAGCGAGCTCCGGGGCCACCCGGGCGGGAAGCTCGGCCAGCGAGCCGCCCGGCTGCGGCGCTCTGAACCCCACCGTGCCCGCGCCTTTGGGAGCCGGCCCCCGCCGCTGGGATTCCGGGCCGTCGGCCTCGCTTCCCTCCTCGCGGCTCCGGCCGCAGGGACTGATTCACGGGGAGGTGCCCTGGCCCCTGCGCCCTCCTCCCCCTAGCGGTCACGCCCCTGCCCTGCGGCGCCTGGCACAAACATCAGGCCGCACGCCGCCCCTGTCCGCCCGCAGCCACCGGGCCGCTGTCCACTCCCACCGCGTCCGCCCTTCGCGGGCTGCTCCCTGCCCCGCCCCTTCCCCTGGCCCTCCCGTGGGCGTCTCCCGGCAAGGTCAGAGGCCCACCCCTCCCAGGGCAGCCCCACCCCGCGCCCGCTTACCTGGAAGAACGCCCTGGGCCTCGCCAGGAGGGTCCCAGCTCCTCGCAGCGCCAGAGCACTTGGCTCTCCAGCTGCGGCCCTTGCTTCCCTGGCCCTCCTGTGCGGTTCCTGCCATTCACAACGCCGAGGGGGCTCCAAATGCCCCGGGGCTCTCTGACCCTCATTTCACCAGGTGCAGTTCAAACAGCACCCCAGGTGACGGTCACCCTGACCCGAGGGCAGCTGCCCAAGGCCCCTGTGGGCCCTGGCATCTCCACGCGTCCTTCTTCCGCCTCTGCGCATGCCCACCTCCGGCACCAGCGGGCCACCAGCCGCAGCGGTGCCTCCTCTCTCGTTTCTCCAGCCGGACACAGGCTTGTGAGGTGACAGGCCTCCTCCCCTGACTGGCTCTTCCCTCTTGATCCTGACCCAGAGCGCTTCCACGCCCCTATCCGCCACCATCCTCCCCAGTGCTCAGGGTCATCCCCGGAAACTAGGTCCACCCAAGACAGGCCTCCCTGGGAGCTGCCTCTGAGAAGTCACAGTCACAGCCTGAAGCCCGGCGGCGCCTCATGGGGCTGGGCCTCACTGAGGCCGTTCAAACTTCAGCACTAAGAGGACAAGGGGCTGGCGCCACATGCTTGCTGCTGGGCACCAGCTCCCAGGACGGGCTGGCACGTAACAGATGCACCACACACTCAGGGGCAATGGCAACCCCGTCTTGCACCCATTAGGGCCGGGACCATGCCTCCTTGTGGGAGCATGGGAAGGTGTGTGACAAGGCCTGCAAAGCCTGTGGTGACGACAGCAGCCCCTCTGGGCAGCCCTTCAGCATGCCCTCGCCAGCTCAGGAAGCTCGGTGGGCAGCAGCCTTGCGAGGGTCCTCTAGCAGAGCCCTTAGGGAAGGGGGCAGCGGTGCGGCCCGGCAGAGGCCTCTGGACCTGGGGCTGCGCGGCCCCCATGCCACCTTCCCGTTGCTGGCAGGAGCACTGCGCCTGGAAAGCGTCGCCTCACAGCAAGCAAGGAGAGGTGGCAGGAGGGCCGCGGGCTGCACTGCCAGGTGGCCGGCTACCTGACGGGGGACAGCCACGAGGAGCAGGAAACACCCACCATGCTGTCCTGGGAGCTGTCTGATAATGAAAGCCCAGACCTTGAGTCACTTTCACAGAGAGATTTATCGAGAATGCTAACAGCACAGGATACAGTACTTCCCAACAAAAGGTGCAAACGCGTCACTTAGAAAGGCATGCTGGGTATTCTTTTGCTTTCACACGTATTAAAAAACTTACAAAAATAAAATAAAACTGCGTGCTGCCCATCTTTTCAAATAGTAAAAGAACCTTATGAAAAAATCACTTGATTTTACAACAAAAGACACAAACGGACATTTTTATGTAAATTTATAAGGCAAACTCTTTATATAATAAATAGGTTACAGGGATTCAGTGGGGGTGTTTTGAAACGTATACAGGTACATTCAGACAGGTTTACTGAAATGGTACAAATTTCCTTAATAAATTGCCTTTTGTTTTTAAATATATCAGTGCTTTCAGTCATTTGGCTATACACAAAGAACCTTTTTTGAACACTACAAAAAAGCAATCAATATTTTTTGTTTTTAAAACGACCTACTAATTTTCTAAAGTAATTGTCCCAAAACACAACAACCAAAGGTGAACGTGACAGAGGGCTCTCAGGGACATCTCCAGCCACGGCTGTCTATCCCGGCGGTGCCCCAGACCGCGTGCACACCCCTGCCCTCGGCGGGCTTCCGGGCTGGAGGCGCCCTGCCCCTTTCTCCCCGCTACTGGACCCCAGATGCAAAGGTCACCACAGGCAGCTCGGCGCCTTTCCCAGGAGCGCGCACGGGCCCTGTTCTGGAGCCCGGAGCCTACAGGGGCGTCAGCTTTCTGAAACGGTCGGGTTTTGCCATGCCAAGGAAGGGGCGTTCTTGCGTGCCTGGGGCTGCGGGCGGGATGACAGCAGAGATCATGCCCCCCCCCCACCGCCACCATCTTACTGTCCAGTGGACGTCAGCCTCATGCCCCGCGGGAGAGGCGGGACTTGAGAGAGGTGTGCTGGGCCTTAACGCCCACCTTGTGGCCTGGCCGTGCCAGGCGGAAGGCCGCCATTTACCCAGTCAACAGTCCCTGACCTGCGGCCCAGCAGTCGTCTCCAGGGAGATGCCTGCCACCCGTCCACCCCCACGCGGAAGGGGCTGGTCACACCCCTGCCGGCCCCTCGCAGGCACACTGACCTTGTCTGACCTAGAAAATAATGACGGTAACAACGTCTGGGCAGAAAGGCCAGAGAGCGCACTGTGTGGTCCAAAACCTGCTTTTGCTCTCACTTCGAAAGTGGCACGTGTCAGCTATTTGGTCCGGGGCTTAGGCTTAACTTCTTTGGGTGGTTTCTGGCTGATCAGGGCTGGGGGCCGGTCTCCAGATCTCCCTTCTTGGGGAGAAGGGACAGCCCCTCTCCGGTCAGTCACTATCCCCTCCCTCCTGCCGCAATTTTTGTTTGTAAAGAAAGAAAAGGTGTCTGGAAGCATTTGTCTCTGGAACAATTACTTTAAACATGGTTACAATACAGACTTCAGTTCAAACACAGAAGAGTTACTTAGCAAAGTTCCTTTCACCCACCAAAACTACACAAAGAGAAGGCTCAACACCACAGTTAAGAGGACCAGTAGAGAACCTCGTGTTTGGAACACAAAAGGAGAAATCAAAACCCAAAGGAAATCCAAACAGAAAAACCCCAGAAAGACCAGGAGGGCGAGGGCGGGCGGCGCGCGCAGACGCAACACGCGCGAGCGCCCGCGGGGGCCGGCGCGGCTCGCACACACTAACAGTCCTGGTGCTATTTGGTCGTGTATTCGTCGGCTGGGACTCGGGAGCGCTGACATTCACCGAAGCAGTGACAGAACGAAACGGAACAGGAGGCCTGGTACAGGGAAGGAGCAGGCTTTTGCACTTCACTGGCCAGCTCGCCACAAACACTGAACCGGGTGGGCCGGCTCGTCCCGGGGCTCCAGGGGGCCGGGGGAAGCGAACTCAGGCGCGGCGTGGAACTATCAGAAAGCACGCACACGGACACACGTGGACACCCGCCTGTCAGTGGCCACACAGCAATGGCAACGTCTCTTGCCGCCTCTTCGGCCCCCCGTGCTAACACTGAAGGCAGGCTGGGGCGCGCCCCTGCCTGGCCCGCAGAGGGGCCCAGGGGAGCTCAGTCACCCAAAGGGGCCAAGAGCGTCTCTCTTTTGGAGTCAGGCCTCAGGAGTAATGACGAGGGTGGGAAGCTTTTGGCCCTGGTGATTATAATGCTCTCTGCTTTGGAAGAACAAGTTTCTGGATTTTTTTTTTTTTTTTTGGTGTTTTTAATTACTTAAAAAAAAAAGGTCAAAAAGAACTGTTACAGCTAAACTCTAGCGGATATTGCTCATTACAAATTACAAAAGCAAATGCAATTACTTGGGAGGGGAGGGAGAGAAAGGGACATTTCTGGAGTCTGCGCTACCTCCTGGAGGGGACCCACTGAACTCTCGTAGGTGCTCTGGGGTCCCTGGGGCGTCTCCCCTCCAGACCCTGGAACCCGGCAGAGGGAGAGCTCTGCTGGTGGGGAAGGCCTGCTGGGCCAACTCCCATGTGACTGGCCCTACCTGGCCGCGGCAGGGGCGCAGGCGCGCTCACGAGATTCTAGACTTCCCCAGGGCAGGGGGCACTCGCGCCCACGACCGGAGAGGGGAAGGCGCCGCCCCAGCACCCTGGGCCCTCTCGCAAGCTCGGAGAGACAGTGTGAAGCCCGGAGCCGCCTGGCGCCTCCTCCACGTGGCACAAGGAAGCCCTTGAGAAAAGCGAGAAGACCACAGGTTCGCTGGGACAGAAGAAGTGACCAGCAGACAGGTTTGTCGTTTTGTTTTTTTTTTTTTTTTTTTTAGTTATTTTTTTTTTTAGTTATTTTTTTTTTTTATTTCCCTTGTCCTATGCTATGGTTATCAGAAATACCGTGGTTAAGCAGCAGGTGTAATTGTAACAGGTCTGTTTTTGTGTGGTGCCACAAGCAAAATGAGTTTATAATTGTGCAATATACAGATATATATATCAAAATTCAACTGCTTTGTGTGTCTAGTCGGTGCATTAAATAAAAGGGACAGAAAAACCAAAAGCGAAACTAAAAAGAAAAGCCCAGGATCGAGGCGACAAAGCAGGCCTATGCGTATAGTCTAGAA